TCTGAGAATAATTAAGAAGGGTTTGAGAATTTCTGTGGCTCCAAATTCATCCCCTTGTGGCCATTCTGGAGCTGAGCCTCTCTGGACTTAGCCAAGCTGGATGTCAGATGGGGGATGTCCCTGCTCCAGCCCTCAGCCCATGGCAGGAGCCTTCTTAGCTTGGGCCCACCTCTTTGGCCCAGGGCCACCACTGAGCAGCAGCTCCCAGGAGGAGCAGTGTGGGCTCCTGCACTACAACTTGCTTAAGTGAGCTTTGCTTGGGAAATGTCCCCTTCCACCTGACAGAACTTAAATTCCTGAGAAGAGAAGCTCTTGCTTTTAGACAAGATGGTGCCAGACGGCACCCTTTCCTTCTCTTGCTCAGCCATCTTGGTGTGCCGAGAGCTCCGGGTCTGGAGGCCATCCAAGCTTCCATAAAATCCATCCCTTTGCATTTCCTTTCTCTTAGAAGCTTCGTTAAGATATTGACCTGTTTTTAGGCGTTTCAAACATGATCTTGTCCAGCTGGTAATAGCTTTTATGCTTTTATGCATTTTATTGAATGTTTTCAACTTTATACTGATACCCTCAGGCCTTTCAGAAGAAGGACACAATATTATAAATTGAAACAGGGAATCAACAGATGCAAGATAACAGGATAAAAGCAACGCTCCAACTGTCCCCGCACATTAACAGCTCCCCCTTCCTACTCTGATCTCTAGGCAGCTGCCAACATCATCGTCCTAGTGCTCTCATCTGACTAGGTCATTCCTCTGCTCAGATACCTTCAGGGGCTCCCTATTGCCCCCTAGTGGCAAGACCAATTCCTCAGTCTGGCCCTTAGGGTCCTTCACAAACTACCTTCCTGAGCTCATTTCACTTTACATCCCTTCAGGTGCTCTAAACTAGACATCTGGCTCAGCATCCCATATCCTGCCTCGATGACATTGTAAGGGTGTTTGGGATGCATGAGCTCTTCACCCATGCTTCTTGGTGTCCCAAGGTCCTCTCAAGGCTTGGCCCAGATGCCACTTCCTAGGAGAAACCCTGCCTGATCTCCTCAGCCATCATTACTCAGTCCCTCATTAAGTGATTTCGTAAATACTGCTCTGTTTACACGTGGTATCCCTCCAGTAAAGTATATGCTCCTGGAGGGCAGGGGTGCCTTTGGGACAGTCTTGTGCTCCCAGTGCTTGGCACATAGGAGGCCTTTGTTAAATCATTGTTGATTTTCCCAGTTGAAATGGAATCATTTTCAAGTGAATCGGACAAGATCCTCCATTCAGCTGTCAAAGTAGTCTTCCTAAAGTGAAGGTCTGACCATGTCACTCCCCTCACTCGATAAGCCCCAGGGCTCCCTATTGTCTCCACAATCAAACAGAAAATCCTCTGCTGTTCAAAGCCCCCTCCTTCCAGTACAGTCTTCTTACACCTCACTCCCTGACACTACACTTAGATTTAGTAACGTTGGCTTCCCAGCTCTTCCATGAACAAGACCATCCATCTCTCAGCCCTCGGCATTTTCTCTGGCTCTCTCCCACGCCTGGAATGTCTCCCTCCTCTGCTCTGACCACTGACCTCCCCGGCTTCTTTCAAGTCCCAACTAAAAACCCCACCTTCTGCAGGAAGCCTTCCCCAGGCCCTCTTCATTCTGGTGCTTCTCTGTTTATCATTTCTAATGACCTTGTATCTTGCATGTTTGTACATATGCGTTTGCTTGTTGTCTTTCTCATTAGACTATCAAAGACTGTCTTTCATTAGACTATCAGTTCCTTGAGAGCAGGGACTGTCTTTTGCCCTTTCTATTGTATCTCCAGTACTTAGAACAGTGCCTGGTACATAGTAGGTGCTTAATAAATGTTTACTAAGTGACTAACTGAGGCCAAGTGAAATGAGGAGCAGCCTTTCTCTACCCTGCAGAGGAAGGTTTTGTGGAAACCTTCCTTCAGTGCAGTGCCATTGTGTGGCAGGAGTATCTGGATACTCCTAGGATCACAGGCCCTTAATTTAGAGCTGGAAGAGACCTCAGAAATCATCTTGTCCAACCCTGTCATTTTCTGGGTGAAGACCAGGATGGTGAGGTGACTTGGCCAGGGTCACACAGATAATGACAAAGCCAGGAATTGGGCCTAGTGGAGTGGCCACTCTGGCAAGCATGGCCAGAAAGACTCCAAACATTTGCCCTGAACTGTCTCCACTATCCAAGGACCCACCTAAGGTTAGAGGGGCTCCTCTCTGGATGGAACAACATGGGGGGAAAGGAAGAGAAAGTGAGCATTAGAGAGAGGGGGATGGAAGAAAGAATAAGATCCCAGTGCAGATGAAAGGCGGCGGGACATATCTGGAGGGGTTTGTCTTGCTCAGGAGAAGGGTTATCACTCCCTCAGAGAAGGGATGGAAAGAGAAGAGAACTGATCGTGATATTAAGTGTTTAGTATATGGCAGTCACTGGGCTGAGCACTGAGGTTAAGATTAATTCAAAAATGGAGATGGTTACTGCCTTCAGAGAGCTTCCAACACAAGTAGGAGAGTTGAGCATCCAGGTGCAGAGAAGGGCTCAGTGGTCCCTAGGGCTCAGTGACAGGACTGATGCTGGAGGTCTTTAAGGTATATTGTTGGGAGGAGAAATCTGGAGGAGAAATGAGAGGGTAGAATTAGGGCAGGGAAATAAAGGGGCTCTGTTCTGCTCCAGCAGTCACATGCTGTCCTGAGAGGGAAGGGAAAAGGAATGGGGAAGAGAAACAGATTGCATGGCATGTGAGAGGGAGTCAATTAAATAGGAGTGAAAGGGTTTTCCTGCAGCAAGGAAAATCCAATTGCAATTCGTTTTGTGGTGGACCCCGTCAGCCTGGTTGTGTGACTTCTTACTGTCCCATTCAGCGGCCCATGGATCGGAGTGAAGAAGGCAGACAGTGGGTCATCTAAGGTTGTGGTTTAGAAAGTGATGAGTCAAAATAGAAAAAAGGAAAGGCGATCCAAGGGTGGAGACCAATGTAAGGTGGAACTAGGCATTATAGCATCAAAGTCTCAAAGGGAGGAAAGTGAAGCCAGAGCATAGATGATGAGCTAGGCAATCAGGGAGGCACGGGTGTGATGGGGACGAAGAATGGATTTAAACATGGCTAGACTCAGGGCCAGGAGAAAAGGTTGGAGTCAGAGGGATTGCAGAGTTCCGGAAATGCCCTTGTGGGTCATGATGCCACAAAACGTATGACCATCCCTGTGTATGGTTGTGGTCACGAGAAGGTGAAAGTCGTGGGAGTTAAGAAGGGAGATGAATTGGAAGGGGCATCAACATGCAGAAGTATGCACACATGGACACACACAGAGCACCATTCCAGGGTCCCATGTATCACTGTGAATCCTTTCGCATAAGGCACCTTCCAGCCATCCTTCCTGTCCCACAAGTCTCAGTGACACCTATGAGACCAAATTTGCCTCCTTCCTTAGGAGCCCCACTGCTTCTGCTTGTTACCTATATGCCGTACATTTGTGTCTAGACATCTGAGTCTGTGAGCTTCACTGTTGGCTCTTGTCTGGCAGAACACTGCCTTCTGTGAATCATTGACTCTCCTGCTATTTTTTTCTGTGTTCTATCTGCTACCTTCCGGGGTATGACGCTTGAATGATTTACAGTTTTCTCCTTTCTGGATCCCCTTCCAATCTGAAGCCCTTCTGATCAGATTCTCAAGACTCCAGGCCAATATATATATATATATATATATTTTTTTTTTTTTTAATTGGCCCTTGTTACATGCACTCCATTTCTGGCCAAGAGTCCAGATGGTTTTTTATAGTCTATGCTGTGTTCCAGATTCCAAATCAGGTTCAAGACTCCTTTGACTTTCCCTCCCTGGCATTCCAAGTGTCCTTGACCATGCTCTCCTGGAATAAATTGTGAATGATCTCACATTCTTTTATTACTTGCTGAGGTCTCCCTGAGACATCTTGATTGAGATGGCTCTAACAGTCAATAAGGAAAGCATGGGGGTGGGAGTGGGACATCATTTGGGACATTAACAGATCTGGTATTTACTAAGGAAAGTTCACATTTTATTAAATACAAGTTGAAGAAGAGTCCATCTAGCACCTAAGTTAATCAATTGACCCTCAGTTAAATCTGAATCAATGTTGGAAAGAAATGCCCAACATTTAATGTTGTGAATCCTTTACCTACTTTAATCCTTTAAATTCAGTCTGTTCTTTCAACTTCACTTTCCCTTTGGACAGCAAAAGCTGGAGGACAACAACCATGTATAAAAAGGAAATCAGTGTTTTGTGAACTGTTCTAGCTTGGGTTTTATTTTAATGTTGGGAATGTTTTCTTATACTTTTGAGAAACCCTGCTTGGTTTTCATAAAGGTATACTTAATCCAGTTTATTTGCATGCTGTGTCTGTATCCAATAAAATTTTCATTTTTTTTTTTAATCAGATCATCTTAATGGCATTAAATGTACTTATATACTTTTCTTCAAAAGTGTAGATTAGCATGATGTCCAGTCTTTTAGAGGCCTGACATATGTTTCCATTGTCATTTAGAGTCACTAGACCTCTCTCTTTCAGCATCCACAGCCAGAATGAAATCTGTAGTAAAACTATTTTTTTGAACCAATCAAATCAATTTTCTTTTGGAATATTTATGAGAACAATTGGGATAATTGGAGAACTCTTTAACAAAACCCAAACTCCTTGGTGTAAACCAATGATGTCAAACACAAAAAGAAATCCCTGTAGGTCACACACTGACTTAGAAAACCACATGAACATTATCTGTGTTGTAGTTTATTTTTTTTTATTTTGTTAAGCATTTCCCAATTACATTTTAATCTGGTTTGAGCGTTTGACACCTCTGGCATATTTGTACGTGCAAATCTGTAAGTCATGGAAGCCATCACTGTTCAAAGTCCCCATTGCATGAATTCAGTTCTGACTAGACAAAGTCAAATGCAGCTACCACAACTGATGCTTCCCTTTTAAAACTGAATGTGTTTTGTGTCTAGAAGTTAGATGCTTGTGTTACCTTGGCAAAGTCAGGTTTGTTCTCTGCGACCTCAGACTGAAGGTTTCTGAGTGAAAGCTGGTTGCTGTCATTGTACGGCCTTGACTGGAGTCCTAGGAAGAAGAAGTTGCATTGCTTAGAACATACACAAAGCAGGCTCAAATAGTATACACGACCACCACAAAAGCTGCTGGCACTAATTCATCTTTTATACCAATGGGCAGAGAAAAGGGTTTCTCTTTCTGCCCAGGATAAATCCTTTCCATTCCCCCATTTCTCTCTTCAATAGCCCAAATCACAGGCATGGCGGTTTACAAGGATGCTTGCAAGGTCCGTTCTTACATCGACTGGGTGCATTTCCAATGCATTATCATTATTTCTAAGGAAATTCCTCCCCCTTGTGAGGCTCCACCCAGGGTACAGGTGGTGCTAGGGGGAGTAAACAGTGATGGGCAGGATGCAGGACACGAAAGGCTCCGTAATGGGTCTGGGCATGTTCAGCCTCTTGTCTTCAGTGATGATTGGAAGGAAGGAATGAGTTCCCTTTTCTACTTCTCACAGTGCCTGGCACAGAGTAGGCACTTAATGCTCCCTGACTCACTGATGTTTGAAGATGCAACAAAGTTCTTATAATTCAATTCAATAAACACCAGGACCTGGGCTGACGATGGACAAAAGTGAAGTGGCCTCTGCATCCAGTGGATTCTACTGGGGCCTACAACATATGCACAGGTAAGTCCATCAGTCAGTCAACAGACTTTTATGAAGTTACTGAACAACAACCAGCAAAGGAGACTGAGCAGGAGCAGTTAGAGATGGAGCAAGAGAATTGAGAGTTAGTCACAAACACCCAGAGAGGAGAGAGTCTCTGGGGAGAAAGATCAACCACTTCAGATGCTTCAGAGAGCTCCAGGAGGATGAAGACTGAGAGAAACCCATCAGCTTTGTCAGTTAGATCACTGGTGACTTGGGAGAGAAGGGTTCGGCTGAGAGGTGAGTCAGCGATAAGATTACAAGGGGTAGAGATGTGCATGACAAGAGAGGAAGTGGAAGAGGGAACACGACAGCTTTTTCTAGAGTCTGGCTGTGAAAGGCAGGACAGCTGCAGGATGATATAGAGGGGATGAGAGGTTTTAAGGATGGAGGAGACCCTGGTGTGTTTGTAGACATCAACAAATGAGCCAGTAAATAGTGAGAGACCAAAAATTAGAGGGGAGAGCTGATGCTAGGGGCAATCTGCCAGAAAAGGGAGAGAATCAGCGATATGTGAAGAAGGTTGACTTTAGTAAGGAGAAAGGCCACTTCTCCATTACAGAGGGAAGAAAGAAGGTGAGAATGGGGGTGGATGGGGAGTGTCAGAGGGTTTGGACATGTCCACTTGGGAAAACGAGGGAGCTCATGGTATGGACTCTACTTTCTCATACAGAGACAATGTCCTCAGCTGAGGTTGGGGAGGGGTGGTATATGGCTTTGAGGAGAGATTCGAAAATTTAGAACAGATGCTCTGGGGAATGACATAGAGAATGATCACCAACCACTAGAAACTCAGTCACTTCAGGTACTTCTAAATGCAGAACTGTAGAGCATTTTTATTGGTATCTTCAGTCATTGCATCACTTTCATTTTCCAATATGTCCCCCTCCCCCTCCCTGAGAGCCATCTCTTAAAACAAAGACTAAGAAAAAAAATGTCAGAACCAGAACATTGGTTCTGTCCACAACAGAGGCAATTCCCACCTCGACAAAGAAGCAGCAGGGTCACCCTAGGCCAGTACAAGAGGGGGAGGAAGTCGCCATGTTCCGTTGGGTGGGCTGTGCAGAGCCAACCTTTGGCTGCCTGTCAGGAGGAACATGCCAACAGCTGGAGAGGCTCAAAGGGGAGTGGAAAGCGTCGGGAGGTTTTGGGATGCTCCTCTCAGAGGTCTTCAAGCACAGGCCAAACCACCACCTGTCAGGGATGTTCCAGGGACATTCCTTCTGCTCATCCCCCTTCCTCTTCCATCATTTTGCCTCCTGCAATCTGACACATGGCTCTTACTCTATGATGAGGATTGGAGTGACCAGCAGGAGATGAACCCTCCTCTTATTGCCAAAGAACCAAGGCAGTGCGGGGCAATATTGTGTTTGGGCATACGTGCCTCTTCCCCCGTGACTGAATGGCAGGAGTTTTGAACCCATGCAGAAAACCTTCCTGTTGGTACCTGCTGCATTGCAGAAGAAAGCAGGGCTGACGAAGCCCAGGACCACTGATCATATTCTTATCTCATAGCTAGAATAGACAGTAGGTGGTCTGTCACACTGGAACCTCAAAGTAGGGGAATGAGGCAGCTCTCAAACTGGGCCAGGAGCTGCCTTCTTCCTCCTTGGTGCCCCCACACTTCCCTTCCTTCTGTCTGCTACTGATCAACATCCCTGAGGCTCGCTTTAGGATGAAAACTGGCCTTCAAGGCACCTATTTGCTTTCCACATTTATTTTTATTTTTATTTTATTTATTTATTTTTTTCCCTAGGCAATGGGGTTAAGTGACTTGCCCAGGGTCACACAGCTAGTAAGTGTTATGTGTCTGAGGCCGGATTTGAGCTCAGGTCACCCTGAATCCAGGGCCGGTGCTCTATCCACTGCGCCACCTAGCTGCCCCTACTTTCCACATTTAAAAGACCCACCTGCATCTTTTAAAACCATTGATTTGCAACGTCTTTTCCACACAGCTGGGATTGCTTCTAGGGAAGAATCTGACCTTCATTGGGGAGCCCAAAGTTAAATTCCTTTTCTCCTTAGTAAACAGGAACTCCCATTGCTACAATGCTTTCCTTACAAGACACCTATAGGAAGGCTGGGTGAGGACAACGTTTCCCATCTGTGGGTGAGAAACTGAAGTAAAGAGAGGTCAGAGGATTTGCCTAAAGTTATCAAAAATAAGGATGGAAGGGAAGGAAAAAGAAAGGGAAAGGGAAAGGAAGAGGGAGTAGAAGGATGGAAGGGAAGAAAAGTAGGCAGGAAAACAAGAAGGAAGGCAGGCAGGCAGGCAGGCAGGAAGGAAGGGGGAGGGAGAAAGAGTGGAAGGAAGGAAAGACAGAAAGGTGGAAGGAAGAAGAAAGAGTAGGAGGAAGAGAGAGAATGGAAAGAAGGGAGAAATAATAGAAGGAAGGGAAAGTGAAAGGAGGGAAGGGTGGAGAAATCAACCTTGAGATAGGAGGCCACATTCTGTGGCAGACAAGTAGTTCCAAATCGCACTATCTGAGAAACCATATGCCGTAGTGAATAGAGTGCAGGACCTAGTTTCCAGAAGACCTGGGTTCAAATCCTACCACAGACACTTTTTTGTCATATGACCCTGAAACAGGCTGTTTTCTCCCTCTGAGCCTTAGTTTTCTCATCTGCAAAACAGGGACAATAGTGCCATGTCTTGTAGGGCTGCTGGGAGGTCCAGCTTCATGATGATTTTCCAATGCTTTGGAAATGTCAGAGCTTTCCATATGCAAAGGTGGTGATTCATCTCCGACTGCAGCTGCATCCCTTTTGGGGAGGACAACATTAAAAAGAAGTCCAGGCTGCAGCTGACAGATGGACTGTAGGCTACACAGTGGCTTTCCCAGAGAAGGTCCAGGGGATTGCTAGAAACTGGCCATCATCACAGGTGCATGGATCCCTTCACAGTGGTTTAATTGAGGCCTCTTATAAGGCTGGAGTGAGAGCACAAACACCAAGAAAGCTGACTGCAGTGGCCTGAACTGGTTTACAAATGAACTTTTAATTTTAAAATGAATTAAGAACAATATCAATAGCAAATGTCTATAACCAGGGCAGGTGAGAAGTAGAAATTTTCTAAGTTCAATACTACATCTACTCATTAGTAGATTGATTACTGGAACATCTCTGAGTTACTATAATAGAAAGCAAGTTTGAAAAAATCTTATAATTTTACTTTATATTTGTGGTCAAATTATAATATAGGGATGGCACCCTCCTAAATGGAGAATTAGATAAAGTCATAAGACAAGGATGTAATGTAAAAGCTTTCTAATTAAATGTAATGGTAAATTTTGAGAAAGCAACAGATTAGACTTTTTTCCAAATGTATCTAGCATGAAAATTCAGGCTTTGAGTATGTTTTAATAATAAGCTCTCAAAATTGAATTAAGGATTTCATATAGAAAATTATGTTGATAATTGTAAAGCAAGTAATTTTTCCATTTTTAACAAAAATGATAATTTTTCTGATAAGAGTTCATATTACAAATGAGCCACATGGATTTTTAAAGATTCTTCCATCAGATATAGGATTTAGGTAGAGATGTGAACAAGTGGTATATACAAAAAAAAAGAAATTCTTTGAAGTTTTAGTTTGGAGAACCAAATTGAAGAGGCTGTAGTACATTGTCTTGTCTTGTTCCTGGCAGGTTTTAGCAGGATTATATGGGGATGGACCGGAGGCAGAGCCCCCTTTACAGCTGTCCTGAGGATGCAGCCTAGTCCAGAATTTCCAAGAGAAGCTGTCTAGGAACCAGACGACCGCCTGGGACGCCTGGGATCCAAATGTACTGACTAAATGAACGTCGGGAGTGGGTTACTAGGATACGGGGAGACTTGATGTTAGTAATCCTGATGATCATTATTGAATTGCCTTGCCCTTTTGTTTCACTGTGTTTGTGTTTATGTTGAAGTTTTCTTGGTTACCTTGGTGACATGTAAGTCTCCCTTCTCAAAATTAGTCCATTGTGAGACCTCTAAGTGCTTTGATTTGTAGCTCAAGTTTTGAAAACCAGATCTTGAATATATGAAAAACCTCACAGATCTGTCTTGTAGCTGTGTGATCCACAGGGAGGGGGCTTCCAAATCCCCCCTGAATCAAAAGGGGGAAATTGAGGCAATTGAGGGGATCAGGACAGCGAGCGGTTAATTGTGGGAATTGAGTGAATCACATGGACCCCATCTTGTGACTCAGTTCTGGAGCCAGCCCAGTTCCCTTTCTATTCAATTATGGGTCTAGTCCAATCTTTGTACTGTGAGAAAACTTTATTCAATTGTGGGAATTGGAAGAAAGCCTTATTGTATTGTTTGAAGCTAACACTGTGTGGCTGGGAAGCTGGACCACCCCACCTGCTGCTCAGAG